CCCAGGGCGCTGCCACAGGCTCTGGCAAGGAGACGGGACGAGGCAATAGCGCAGCCCTGGGCGGGCGCACAGTGCGAGGGAGGCTGAAAGCCGTGCTCGGCCCCGTTCCTAGTGGGGAGGAGGGGAGCGCGCTCTGATTCACACGCACACAGGGAAGAATTCCTTGCACTCACACTGGGCGTGCAGTGCTGGCGCAGGCTGCACACACCACCTGCTTTAGGGCAGCCGTTCTCACCTGAGCTGAGGCTCCTTGAGCCCCCCCGCAGGACCAGCAATTACACTCACCGGGGCCCAGGGCAGAAAGCCAAAGTCGGCCACATGGGCCTGCAGCCTGAGGCCTCCTCCCGCCCCCGGCAGAAGCAGACGCCCGAGCAATGGGGCTGGGAGGAGCCCTGTGGCATGAGGCCCCAGGCACTGGCCTGCCTGCTACCCCCCGAGCTGGCCCTGGAGTTTCCAGAGCGTGCTGGGGCGCTCGGAAAGAACCAGGGGGCGAGCGGCTGCCTTGACGTTTAATGGAGACACGCAGAGACCAGGAACGCCCGGGGGGGGCCCTCGTGAGAGAGACGGGACCTACCTGCGTGCGGAGGGACCTCTGTGCTGCTCAGGCTGCTCGTGGCGTCGGAGTCACTAAGGTCGAAGGTCACCGCCTTCTTACATGCCAGCCCCCTCAGCGTGTCTTCGTCAGAAAGCTGCTCAAGAGAAGGAAAAGGAAACACACTGCTGCCCCTTGGGAACCAGACCGGCATACAGCCCCCACCTCGCCCGGCCAGGTACGCAGAGCAGGCTGCCCCGGGGTTAGCGCTGGAGCGCTACGAGCACGTGGAGAGCGCAGAACCAAGGTGCTCCGTTGCTCTTGGGGAGCGAAGGCCGGGGGTGCTGCAAAGGAGGAGGGCTTAGCCCATGGAGGAGGCGTGGTGTGGCGGGGAGTGCACAGACTCCCTGGAGTCGGGTCATAAGGCCCAGCACGAGACGTACCCCCATTCAGACCCGGCCTTTCCAAGATGCGATGGTCTTCCACCTCCCACTGGTCCTGGGCCCGGGGAACTGCCCAGGTCACTGGCAGAGCTGGGAAGGTTCCAGGAGCCCGAGCTCTCCTTTGGCCACTAGACGCTAGCGGTACTCACCAGCCGGGCAACAGCCAGGTACCTGTCCCGCTCACTTACCTGGGAAGCCCCCGGGCATGCAGCCGAGCGGTGAGCAGGCCGAGGAGGGTACAGGGTCTGAACCTCCCCCGCGTGGACAGCTAATGACACTGCTCTTTAAAACACACGCCAGGGGTCCTTCGACTGCTCAGTGTCTCGAGAACCCTTCAGTCTCCTCTGAGCGACTGTGCTTCTTCCACTCCCCTGCCTGGCAAGCGCCTTCCACCCCCAGCCCCGCTGGGCTACATGGCTAGTGAATCACGTGGGTTCATTCCACTTTGGTCTGGGCCTGCCAGGAGCCACCTGACCAGCCCTCTCTCCCCACTGTGCTCGCTCCCAGGCGGAGTCCCCAGCCAGCTCCCAAAGCAATCCAGCTCCAGCCAACAACTCTCAGCCTTCAACTAACCACCTCTGCCTGGAACCGAAACCCCATCAAGTCCCCACGGCGGGGAGTCGACCTGGCTCTCTCTGAGGGCTGCTCCGTGGGCATGTGGGGCTGGTGAATGCCAAGTGACTGGGACGCTGGCAGTTACCTCTTCCAGCAGCGATGACTCCAGCTGGCTCAGCTTCTCCTCCTTCTTCTTCAGCAGCACCTGGCCTTTCCGCATGGCTGACTTCATCCTGCCCAGCTGCTTCGATTCCTGCAGGAGCAACCGGCCGGCCAGGGAGGAACATTCACACAGTGAGAGGAAAGGGACGGTTTTTCTGATCTGCAATTGTTAGCTCATGGCTCCCCAAGAGAGACAACTGTGATCCCGAAGTCAGAACACAGCCAGGAGGGGAGGGCGAGGGAAACTCATCCACCTTATGCTCATCCACCGGAGGAAGTTACAGCCCCCTCTCTCCGCCCCCGGCTAACTCTGAATCTGCATTTTCAGCCAGCGTGAAACTCAAGATCACCACCATGGCAAGGTGTGGAACAGGCGAGGTGTTAGCCCCACATATCCCAGCCAAATTACAGGCTGCAGCCCACTAGATTCCAGGCACACTGGACACCAGATTCCTGCTCCCTTCCTGAGGGACACGGCGCCGGAGCCCAGGGAGTGCTCCCCTCATACAGTCTGTGCACTGGCCCGTTTGGCAAGAGCGCTGCGGCCCCCCCCCCACTGTGAAACCGCAGCGGGAACGCCCGCCCTTCCTCTGCAGCGTGCACACGGCTCTCGGACGCACAGCCTCCGTGGGAGCTCTCATGGGACACAAACCAAATTCCCCCCTTTGCTCCGGGCTTCCCCAGGTGATCAAACAGTCACGTTGCATAGCCGAGCAGGGGCTCAACGGGCTTTGCAGGCTGTAATGAACTAATCTCCCCAGCCACCCGGAGGGGGGGGCGGCTTTAATCCCCGTCACACCGATGAGCACACTGAAGCGCACCGTCCAACAGTGACTCGGGGTGCCCGGCCCAGCCACGCCAGGGCTGATTTCCGGGAGGACGAGCACCTCCAGAGCCGCCTGCAGGGGGGGGGACGCGCCCGGC